TAGTTTTTTCTCGAATTATTGGAAGTCTTAAAAGTATTTCTTTATTTGACTAACTAAATTTAAATACACTTCAGATACGCACTCTTCTCTCAGAAAGTCATGAAACTTTGAATTTTAACTTAAAAGTTATTCAACTATGCACGATTTTCTTAGGAAGTTACTCAACTTTGAATTTTAACTCAAAAGTCATTCAACTATGAATGTTTTACTTACAAAGTCACCAAATCTATTTAGGTGACTTTGTAAGTAAAATATCATAATTGAGTGACTTTTGGGTTAAATTCAAAGTTGACTAATGACTTTCTAATAAAAGAGTACATACTTGAGTAACTTTTGAGTTAAAATTCAAAGTTGAATGACTTTTTGAGAAATAAAATAATACATAATTTGTGATTTTTGAGTTAAAATTTAAAGTTGAGTGACTTTTTGAGAAAAAAAAATACATAATTGAGTCACTTTTGAGTGAAAATTCAAAATTGAGTGACTTTATGAGAGAAAAGTACATAGTTAAGTGACCATAGTAATTTCTAATGATGGTTTTCATTTCTGATGATGGTGAACTATCATTGTGACATGTTTTAATGTAAATATAAACATTTCAGCTACTTCCGCAGCTGGTTCTCCACTCTCTTCATCCACTCCTACAGGTACAAATACTAACAAATCTTGATCTTGTAATAACTCCACATTGTTCATCTTCTTTAATTTAAGCACAAATTTTATAATGGTCATGTATAATTATTATAAACTTGTGGGTTGAAATATATGCAGGAGAGAGATCAAGAACTTCACAAAGTGAGGATTCATCAAGAGGATACTCATTGAAGCTCCCATATTACTCTCTTTTATTTACCCTTGTTATACCCACTTTCTCATTGTTCAACACCATCTAAACTCAAAAGCACGTGTGAAAAGTCAGAAGGATCAATAATGTTCTTACTTACCTTTCAATGTAATTCACGCTTTGTGGTTTGATTCTTTGCATCTTTTAAACAATAGAGTCAGGGTTCATGGTTCAGTTCGGATAATTTTTTCTATATTTTCATCGCTTCAATTTTTATCTATTTATTAATTTAGAGGTACGACAATAATATACTTTCAAATACATATTAAATTGACTATATTTCAAAGATAACACTACCAAATCAATTAATTATATGTACTCTCTAAAGAAAGAAGGAAAATTGTTCGTATAATCGAGTTTTATATTATATGTAATTTCCTCTAAAAATAAAATCATATGCATTGAATTTAACCATTTTTCAAGGAATATAATAAAACTTAATACAATGATCTGCGTTTGTTTTGCTTTTTTCTTTGCAAAATATTAAACAGTTATGATTTACTCGGATATCGTGACGGTAATTGAATTAATAATAATTAAAGAACTATCAATGTATGTTATAGTGTAATGGTGCATTATTTCGACTTTAATTAGATATTTTAGGTTTGAACTTTGAATTTAAGAAAATCTTATTAAAAATGTCAAACTAAAAATAATAATAATTAAAAAACTTTCTGAAAATAAATATATTTTTGAGATTATCACAATGAAGACTATAAATTAAACAAGCTAAAAAGTAAAAGCAAAGACAACAAACACCTAATACAAATTCAAAATCCAAAAAATTAATATGATTAAAAAAATAAAAATAGACCGAAGCACCTTCTTCGTGATTTGCATAGGATAATTTTGTAAGTCACAAATTGCCCAATAACAAAAGATAGGCCGATGCCATTGAAAAATGAAATGATACGAATTTTGCAAATAAAAAATATACAATTTAAAATGTCAAATCATAATTTAAAATTTTACTCACATTTTATAAACAAACTTTATTTACGAAATGTCATGAATCAAGTCCAACCCAGTATGAATACCAAGGACACACAAGTAGCGCTAATTTGGAATCCAAGTCGAGTAGTGGGTGTGAGAACGGTTCAATTAAAGGGATAGTGGTCGGTGATTCAGAGATTATGCAATGTTGAAGAAAATGTTTTTTCTCTCCTCTTATTTTAGTGTCTTCTCATCTCCATTCTTATCTCTATCTTAAATTACTCGTTATTTCAATTTCATTACAATTCAATAATTTAATTATTATAATTAAAATTTTAAGATTGTAATAATATTCCAAATCTCTTACTAAAATATAGTGAAGATTTTGATTTGTTACACAAAATAACGAAAATGTCAAGTTTATTGCTATTAAAAAAAAGGTGGTTGGCGTAATTCTTAATTTGTGAAACTCACCATGCTTTCCGTCACAAAATAATAGTAAAATACCACTCCATCAAGGAAAAATAAAAAGTTCAATCAACTTTCTATTTTTTGTTTTATTTTGTATTTCTGCTTGCTATAAATTTTTTGTCCACTTTTAATTACATTATGTTTTTTAAAAGTTAATTTAATTATTTTTTAAAATTAAATCATATTAATCACGTTAATTGATCTTATAAAAAAATTAAATATTCAAAAATTATAAAAATAAAACTATAAATTATATTTTTTATAATAATATAATAAAATATATATTATAAAATATTAATCAAAATTTTTATAATTTAACTTTAAAAGAATCATCACAATTAAAAGTGGAGGAAGAGTAGTTAATTTTACCTTTCTCATCAGCTAGGCAGAAGGTCTCGTGTATTTTTTAGCTATATCTAGTCTAGCTATAAAAAGTAATACTCCTGTACCTTAAGTCTTAAGCAAACAATTTAAAAAAGATTTATAATTAAAGTTATTTTTTATATATACATGTACGATAGATATGAAATTTGAACGTATTATTATTTTGAATTTTTTAGTAAATATTTGACTTTATTAATGTTCTAATGTGAATATAATGTGTGTATTTGTGCATAAAACGGATCAAATTGTAGCATTATTATCGTTTTAGAGATCCAATCATTTGATCTATGTGAATGGAATTAACAATTGTTTCCACATAAGGTTGAAAAACAAAATAATAAAAATTCGTAAGTTGGTTGTGTGTTTCTTTAAACGGAGATTGTTTATATGCCATGAACACTACATGATTAAAATAAAATAGTATTGCAGAAAAATATAAAACGTACTTCAGATAAAAAAAAATAACTTCTCAATTTTTGGATAATTTTCTTTTATTTTTCTTGCTATTAAGGATCTTTATGCAGTTTTAATGAAAGCTTTTTTTTTCAAATAAACTTTTTACAGCATAATGAGAGTGAATTTCCTATAAATTTCCAAATTTTATGACCAATCAAATTGTTTATAAACGAAATGAGCAATTTGAAGTGTTAAAGTAAAAATTTAATGTGGCATGCCACAACAATATTCCAGTGCAAAATGTATAAATTCCTATTTTATTTTTGAGTTAATTACAGTTAGTTAATAATTTTTACGTGAAAAAATTTAGCTAACATTTTAATTATAAATTTTAAATTTTATCTTTAAATATCAGTTTAGTCATGAAATTCAATAAAAATTTAAAAATCTAATTTTCAAATCTCAACTTTCATTCACAAAAAAAATAGTTTTTTTTTAAAAAACTAAACACAATTTTAAAATTCAAAAATACAATTTTAATAACAACTTACATTTTCAAAGTTTCAAACTTTCATATAATATATGACAGAATGAGAGCTTGAAATAGTAATCCCACCGAATTCATGTGATCACTTGATTAGACATGAAAGTTTAAAAAATATGATAATAGTTTGCTATGTTTTAAATATATTTTAAAATACATAAAAATTTAAATAAAGTGACACATCTAAATAGAAAAAATATTAATTATGTTATTAAATATTTAAAAAAAATACATCTTTCTTAAATTTCACTTGAAAAAAAATTATTATAATTAATTATATTAATTAAAAAAAGTGTGTTACGTAAATTGAAGAGACAGGGAAAGTACTAGTTATTTATTGTAGCATGGTTGGACAAGTAGAAATTGAAATTATGATTTGGATCAAATAATAGAAAACCGAACCAAATGACAGAATTCTGATGATGTAATAGGAATATGCCTTAATCAATTCTTTCTTGTTTTAATTTTGTTAGGGTAAACTCATGTTACTTTCCAAAAACACTCTCTTCTAATTATTCTAAAACACTTCTCAAAATTGTTTTTAAGGTAAATCTGGTATTTGATTATTCATTCCTCATTTGTAATCACTCCAAAAAAGGGGCATCTTCTTTCACCTCTACTTGTTCAAGGGCTGCAGGGTTCAGGTATATTTATTTTCAATTTCATCTGAATCAGTTGGGAATCGGGTTTGCTTTCCACTTAATTCTTGGAATTTGTTCAAGATTCCCCAATTCTTGAAACACCCAAGTTTAGTTTTTTCCTGTTTTTTTTTTCAAGATTGCTCATTTTCCCAATTCTTGAAATACCCAACTTTCTGTTTTTGCTGTTTTATACTTCTTTCGTTGTGTTAGGGATTTGGGTTTAATTGGGTGATTATGTTTATGTACTTTTTCAGCTGCCATCATTTGATTTGTCTTGTTAAGATTTGGCTGTTTTTTGTGTGTTTTAAGAGTGTTTGTATTTACCCTTTTCTGCTTTTTATTAGGATAGTTCATACTTGTTTATGATGGAGGAATCAATTTGATCTTTAGTGCTTTGTTGTTAATCTATAGATTCAACCATGTATCAAATCTTTTGCCATCTTAGTGTCTTTTCAGTATACTTGAACAAAATCACTCTTTTAAAAGATGTTTAGCTGGATTGGTGAAAGAATTGGTTTTTGATTTCCACTTCGAAATGAACAAACACATCTCTAGTCGTAGCAACTTAACAATGTAGACACTTGTGAGAATTTTCTCATCATGGTATGAGATTTATGTCCAATTATGATATTGGCGCAACGAGTATGGGACTATATAGTACTACTCTATTATTGCGGCTAAAGAACTTAGCTGCAGGTCTCAAGACAATAACAACAACTATGCCTCAAGTCTAATCTAGTTAAGGTTTGCTAAATGATCTTTGCCATTTCGTTTGGGCTTATTTTCTTGTAAGTGCTCAAATTTTTAGTGAGATAAATGCAACTAGAGTTTATCCAATTCTCACAATTATTTGTATGCTAACATTCAAAACTTTAACCAAAGTAAAAGGGCACAACACTGAAGTGTACAATGACAGCCTATTCGGTACTAGTGGGTTTTGGCATAATAGATTATTGTTTTTTTTGTGTGTATGTGTTCTTGTTACTAACTTCGTATCAATTTATATGTCTTACTTCCCTTCTTATTTAGTTCTAAAAAATACCACTTTTCTATACATTGTAAGCTTTACTTTTAACATCTCATTTTACCTTAATGACAATGACACTCCCTTTTGAGAATGACTTGACATGTTTAAGATTACAAAATTCGAAAGATATTTTTGATATGTTATATACATACCCCTTTACTTTATGACCGCAAGATTCAAAAGTTTTCTTTATGTCTTAAACTTCATATTCAATATCACCATTCTCAAAAAAATGTAGACTTTGTACCTAGTCAAACAATCAAACTAAGAAATATAAAATGAAATGGAGTAAGTATGAAATATCGTCAATTTTTAGATTACTTCTCTCCATGTGATTTTACATCCACCTCGCCCTTTTGACACATTCAGTTATCATAGTGACACCTATAATAGGTGCGTTTGGAAGTCTATAACATGTCCAAATCATTTCAAGCGACCTGCTCTCAATTTATCCTTTTATTTGTGCCACTTGCACATTCTAACGTTTGTAATCGTTTATATCTTGTACAGGCGCATCCACCTCACCATTCACATTTCTCCAATTATCATTCTTTTGCTATCTTTACATTGCCTATCAACCTACCTACAGCCCCCGTCTGTTGCAGACTTAGGAATTAGGATTGACGATAAGATCCTCACATAAGTGAAATTCATGAGTAGGGTTTCAATAAATGAGTTAAATTAAGATCAAGCTTCATAGTGTTCTTTGAGATTAATATCTTCTGTTTTATAACTGGAAATCTTATGTTAGTTTTTGCTTGCAAACTAAGTTGATTTTTCGATCTGCTTAGCTTTGAAATGCTGATATTTGTGCAATATAAATTGCATAATCCTGAAAGTGATTGTGGAAGGAAACAGCTCATACTGACTACTGTCTATATCCAGTGGCGCAAGCCATTTATTAACCTTCTGTCCTTTTCCTCCTAGTTGTAATTTAAACTACGGTTAATGTCTACTCTGGATTTCATTGGGCACTTTTATCCGTAGCGAGATTTCTTGCTTTTAGGCAGTCAAGCATCAAATCCTTTTGTTTTCTGGTCAGTTCTTAAGTATTCTCTAACCAATCGCTGAAGCTTGATCCACAGAGAGAATTTGTTTCACTGTACCACCAGATTGCCCCATATGCGTGTAATAATTGTTCCCCTTTGTGCTTATTCCTCAAGGTTACCATCACCAGTCATTTTCTTACTTTGCTTTCTTTGTGCATTTAAAATGAGCTCTTCGCATTCGTTTCATCTGTTCTCTTTTATTTGTCATTCCACTCTCTGCTGTGCTCTATTTGCTTTATCTGTACATACCCTTTTCCTTCTTCCAATCAGAACAAACATTAAGTCCCAAAATGGTAGAGTTTTGAATTGTCAATCACTACTTTTAATATTGTATATAACATGACTTTTGACCCGAGTCTCGCGCTTAATTTACGTGGAACTATTTAAGGCCTAAATCTCTCTCATTTGAATTTTCCATTGTTTAGGGAGGTAAAGGTCTACTGTAATACTCTTTAGCCACTTATAATGCTCTTTTATTAAGTAAAAATGGATAAATTCCCTCAATGCTTCTTTGGTACCTTGTTTTATTTTAGGGTTGGGGCAAATACTGCTTCTAATAATGTAGAGAGAATTCCTTTTGTTTTATTACTGTAGTGTTAAGCCCAAGCTTGCACGCACCGCAACTAATTCACAAGTTTTGTGCTACCTCCCGCAAGGGTTAGATAGGAAGAAATCCACCTAGTGTCGCCACTACCAAAATGCCTGCTTTCCAAGGTTATTAGATTGACGACTCAGCCGTTAGGCCAGCCATTGGGGGCTGTAACATTGGGAGAAACTTGGTTCACCATTATAAGAACCAAAAAGATGGTATTGTTTTTATACTTTTTAAACTTTATTCTCCATGTCTTAATGTTTTTTTCTGTCTTGCTGTCAGTTTCTCTGTCGTAGATACATGTACTATTGAAAATAAAATCCTTCCTTCCAATTCTTTGGGCAACATTCCAATCTGGTCTGTCCCAAACGGGTGAATTCTTTCTTTTAAGGGAAAGCAATCAAGTCAAAACACTACTGCAATTTTATATCATTTCAGCTTTAATAGGACATCTTTATACTTCTTTCACATCCTTTTACACTTAATCTTTATATTTTACTACCTTAAATATGATATCTTCTTTGTACTTTGTTTCCTTAATCGCCCCAAATGATAATCCAGGTTGGTAAATCTCGTGGAGCGGTGGAGGATTAATTTGCATGGTACTGCACTTCCTGTTTACAGAGAAGTAAAATCAAATAGAAGCAAGAGGGAGAGTGCTCACATCTGTAGGTGATGTCACGACCTGAGTTTATTGCTGGATTATCTTTTTTGTTTCTGCTTAACATTTTTATTTCGATTTATTCATAAAGTAGCTGAGAAGATATTACAGGGTATCGTTTTGCCCAAGTACTTAACTACAGTGATTGGTAACATTCTAGCTGCTTTCAAACTGAACATATTGACGAAAGACAAATGGAATAAATTTTACTTTAGGGTTGTGGTAGCCATATTATTCCACTTTAACAGTTCTCCCCCCTTTTTCTATGGTTGTTCCCTAGTTTTGCTTGAAACTTCCTGCCTCTTTCACCCTCATTTAAGACACTACTAGTGCTATCTCTACCGTGGATGAGATACAGCCAGAGTTTGTAGATTTACATGATATCTCTAGGTTCCACATCATTTTGAGAAATCAGGTTGGCACAGGATATGCTTATCTAGCTGCTTGTAAGTTTCTCTAAAATACAGTTGTATGCTTTTGTAAGATGGGCATCTTTGTGGCATAGTAAATTTTTTATGCATTTAGAAATGTAGCTACTTTGTGTAGGACTTTATTGTTTGGCCAAAATCAGGAGAATTAGTTAAGACACGTCAAGTACTTGATTCAGTACCTTCTTAAGTTCTCTGCTTGCAAGATTCTTCTCTTTGAAAATGTTGTGGAGGTCATAGATATAGAACATATGATGTTTGCCTTGTAGAAAAACTGATAATATTTGACTAATATGGTGGCTCTGCAATGGAAATGCTTTCCAGGTCTTTGGTTCATCAATATTTAAGCTAGTGTGACTTACTATTCCCTGGTGATAGGGATCTTATGGGGCGTATTGAAATTGTAGGGGAAAATCTTCTAGTTATCCTGTTGGGTGGTCTTTTAATTCAACTTTTCCAAATGAAATAGAAAGATTGTTGCGTCATTTCCATGTAGTAGCACTTCCAATAAGCTTATAGTGTTTGATGAGGATATCAAAAATTGAATCACTAATGGAGGGGACATGAGTGCATTTGATAAACATGTTAGTTCTTGCTACAAAAGGTCCTTTTTTTTCTATCCTTTCTATTGTCTGGAGAGAGGTGGCCTTTTGTCTTTTCTTTACATGTCCAAATATGCTTGAAGATTGGGAAAGGCAGGGCATTTAGAATGCAGACAGAGCTCTGATCACGGGATCAGTGGACTAAGATGTTTGACATTTTATCATATTCAATACAAAGAAGTTAAAATTATCCTGTTATATGCTGCTCTTTATTCTAGCAGATGTATGGGTTATAATGTCTGTTCAAGATCTCTACATTAATTTGTCATGTTTTTTCAGGTCGACTTTTAAACAAGATTTATCAGTCAGTTCAGTACTATTGGGGTAGATGCAAGCTTGATAGTAATGTCTGTACTCATTGAAGGGCTTCCTGATGCTGTTGCTCTCAGGTGTCTTGCACGGGTTCCCTTTTATCTTCATCCCAAGTTAGAACTTGTTTCACGTTCCTGGCAAGCTGCTATTCGAAGTGGCGAACTATTTAAGGCAAGACAGGAGGTCAAATCATCTGAGGAATTTTTATGCATCTGTGCTTTTGATCCTGATAATTTATGGCAGCTTTATGATCCTATGCGTGATCTTTGGATTACTCTCCCTGTTCTTCCATCAAACATCAGACATCTGGCACACTTTGGTGTGGTATCTACTGCTGGAAAACTCTTTGTTCTAGGTGGTGGTAGTGATGCTGTGGATCCATTGACTGGTGACCAAGATGGAAGTTTTGCCACTGATGAGGTCTGGTCATATGACCCGGTAACCCGAGAATGGAGTCTGTGTGCGTCTATGATTGTGCCTCGGGCAATGTTCGCTTGTTGTGTGTTTGATGGGAAGATAGTTGTTGCAGGGGGTTTCACTAACTGCAGAAAATCAATATGTAAAGCAGAAATCTATGATCCCGAGAAGAATGTTTGGGATCCGATCCCTGATCTCCATCACACACACAACTCTGCCTGCTCAGGAGTGGTTATTGGTGGTAAAGTTCATGTATTGCACAAAGGTTTGTCAACTGTTCAGGTTTTGGAAAATGTGAAGCAGGGTTGGACTGTGCATGAGTACGGTTGGCTCCAAGGTCCCATGGCTGTTGTTAGGGGAAAACTTTATGTATTGAGTCATTGGCTCATATACAGGCAGGAAAGAGAAACAAGGAAGATGGTAGTTTCAGCATCCGAGTTCCGTAGAAGAATTGGGTTTGCGATGATAGGTCTGGGTGATGATATCTATATTGTTGGAGGGGTTATTGGACCTGAGCGCTGGAATTGGGACATTAAATTGCTGTCTGATGTTGATGCCCTGACACTCGGAAATGAGAGGCAAGTGTGGCGTCAAGTTGCTCCAATGACAAGGTGTAGAGGAACGGTCCTTGGCTGCACGTTAATGAGAATATAGGTCTTGGATAACGGATCGAGTTCCATTGCAGTTTTCGATGGATAACTACTTCAAAAAGGGTTGAGTTGTTCCTGCAGGGTGCAAGGGATGAGATGTTCAGCTTCCTTGCACAGTATATATAACCCTTTTAGCTCAATGCTGCTGGTTCTTTTAGTAAACCTCTGTCCATACCTTGAATGTTAGCGATTTTAACATGAAAACTACGCGTATTTGCATCAAGGAGGTTTCTTTTCTCAGAGTTTTTGCTATCTTCTTGTGTTGTCTGTATGGAAGATAAATTAGTTTGTTGTTGCCTCTGCTTGATTCTTTTCTATTAGCAGCGGGCATGTTTGTCTATTATCAAGTTGTCAACAAAGTGAGCCTAAATCTTTTTGGTCTTTTTCTTTTAGTCAAACCAAGACATATCCATGTATTAGGATAAGCCAAATCATAGTTCAGCCACAAGATGGGCATTTGAGATTCTAAAGCCATGTTATATGTAGTAATTCTCATTGTACTTGGTTAATCTACCAAGCAATATTCAAGATTCCATGGAAATGAATGGAGTGGTTTTCAAGTGAATTGCTTTGACATCTATTGAATAATAGATAGTTTGGGACTTTGGAAATGAATGGAGTGGTTTTCAAGTGAATTGCTTTGACATCTATTGAATAATAGATAATTTGGGACTTTGGAAATGAATGGGTTTTGCCTTTTTCAATCGACCCGAATGCTTAGTGTTGTTATTGGTGTGAGTCGCAAGGAGTCTTGATTTGAAGTCAAGTTGTTCGAAACGAGTGCACTACAAGCTTAGGCTAATACATTGCTAACATAGAATTTTAGGTATTCATTCAACCTTGGTTCCTTGCTAGTTCTAACTACTATTATCCGGAGTGAATTCAAGATTTGAAACTCACAAATATTGTTGTACTTATAAAGCAAACTTACCACTAGTAACAAAGACCAAATGGATGGTAGGGTAGGGTGTACATAAGATCGTCTCAACAGTCACACACTTATTAGATTACTTCAATTTGATTAATTCCGGCATCTCTCCATTTCTCTTTATCGCCAAGTTCCTACTTTCACACAATTATCGAACCAAAATAAGCTAGGGGCAGCTTGATCATATTCTTCTTAATAAAATAAAGAAAAACATTAAAATTTTAAATGGAAAAAAAGGATAAATATACCTCCTGAACTATTATAAATGCTATGCAGATACCATTCATCATACTTTTGGGATTGGTGCTCCTGTCATTCAAAAAGTAGAGCACATATACTTCCACTCTAACGGAAGAATAAATAACAACATGTGGCACAATCTTATCTGTCGATTCGATATTTAATAAATGTCAATCGATGAATAAGATTACGACATATGTATATATATTAGTATAAAGGATATATATGTTATATAATATTTGGACAGCAGAAGCACCAATATCCTAAAAAACGAAGGATATCTTCATACCATTTAGTACTCTTCAATTCAAACATTATTTACTTTGAATATTAGTAGTAACAAGCACATTACCACTCATCGATAATTCTACGAAAAAGCACAATCCAAAATAGTTTTGATCCAAACAAATTTTGATTAATGGATTGTGATTTGTGATAAGTGAAGGACAAAAATAATTGGCAAAAAAAAAACAAAAAGAAAGAAAAAGACAAAAAAAGAGTTTATTGTGAGCTTTGTATTAAACAAAATTCAGCGCCTGTCCTTCACGTGAAGTCCTCGTGCTCAAACAGTGCACCTTTAGGCGTCACAGTCTTATTTATCTGGACAAAAAAAAATTAATTAAATTGATTTAAAATAAAAAAAAATAGTTAATTGTTTAGAAAGAGAGTGTATTTTATTTTTTCCTTTTAGAAGTGAGTGTTCTATTTCAAGGGAATATGTAATTTTCTGTAAAAAGAAAGACATAAAGGGAAACTAAACTAATGATAAGAAGAAGAAGAAAAAATTGCATGATTTAGTAGACCCTTTACTCCAACTTTATTATATTAGTTATCATGATGCTGAGAATATTTATTTTAATTTACTTGTCATTTTATAATATTAATTCTTTTTATCTTTAAAATATTCTTGAAATAAGATTAGTTAAGTCTTGTTCTTAAATATATTAGTATTACTATCATTTATTGAATAGCGAAAAGGATGGAATGGTACAAAAATACTTTATAGTTATGATTTTTTTGGGAGACGTGCAAAGAAAATGACTATTAATACGAGACAAAAAGATTATTTAAGAATTTTTTTTCTTAAAAAAAAGATTGTACTTTAGGTTTAATAGAGATCTATACTATATAGTTTGTTTAATTATGATTTAAAAAAAAGGTGAGTGAAATTGAGAGAAGGATGAGAGAGATGAGGGGCAAAGAGAGAAGAGAAGGGAATTATATTTATTTATGGATAATTAATTGTATATACTATATATAGAACTAATATGTATATGTATCAGGGAATACAATTATTTTGTACTATCAAGTTCAATTGTACTAGCGAAATGCAATTTGTATAAAAAAAATATGATTATATCAATGTTGTATTTCGTAACAAATTGTATTTGCGTACATATGTTGTCATGTATATTTGTATTGTTACCTCGTGTGTTTGTGTTTTGTATTATTGATTATTGTCATGTCACATGTGTATTCATTTGTTGTCATGTGCACTTGTATTTTGTATCACTTAAAAAATTATGTATAATTGACAATTATTATTTGTATTTATAACATTGATTGTTAACATTTGTATTTTGCATCATTTGTTGTTATTATTTGTATTTGTATTTGCATTGAGGGAGAAAAGAGGACGTAAGAGAGAGGGCAAAGAAAGGCTAGCGAGAGAGCACAAAGAGAGGAGAAATGTGTGCGAGAGAGATGAGAGACGAGAGAGAAAAGTGTTATAAATCCTTAATTATAACTATATTCGTTATAATTCTTTTAAATTATAATTGTGCATACAAAAAATGTACCAAAAATATTATTAAGTACAATTTTTTTGCATATCACTATAATAAAAAAATACATTATAAAATATTAATTAATTTTTTTATCATTTCAACTATAAAAAAAATCATGACTGTTAAAAATGAACGGGAGTAAAAAGCAAGATGCATATACTTGTTCTTGATTAGTGTGGTGGTGATAATGGTTAAAATGAAGTTTGTGTGCTTGAGATATTTATGATGAGTAAGCTATATATATGCATATGAGTTATCCTTGTCAGAAGACAAAAGAGGAACCAGGCATCATAACTTCAAATAAAAGAAATTAATGGTTGGATAATGATGTAAAACCCCACATTGATTAGTAAGTGACATGAATAGTGATGTGAAGCCCTCAAGTTGTTTGTTAAGTGACATAAACAATGGCCTCCTTCCTTTTGTTGTTTGATGGTTTTTGAGTTTTGACCCATTTTTACTCCTAAAATGACTTCTCTTTTCTTGAAAGAGACTTGTGCATAATTGATTCCTTCCCATAGATAATGTCTTAACCTTCGAAAATGTACAAGTAACTTTTCAATTTATATTCGAAATTCTAGAGACACGCTTATATTATCTCCGTTCTTAATTATTTATCCATTTTTCCTTTTATAGTTGTTCCTAATTACTTGATCATTTTGACAAAATCAAGAAAGGACAACCTGAACTTATTTGATAAGTAATTTCTATCTCTTTTTAGCTTACGTGATACTAGCTTGAGAAAAAAGTCAATTGAGCTCACAAATTAGTGTCACATAGGTCGAAAGGAGTAGAAAATTATTAATAAAATAAATTTAAAGGATAATAGGATCTTAGCATAATATAAGTGTGTCTCTAGAATTTTGGACATAGATTGAAAGGTACTTGTGCATTATTCTTTATTATATATATATATAAAAAAAAAAATTGGCAACATAAATCATATGAATTGAAGTGTATATTACTAACTATAAATTTTTATGTATTGATAATATAAAGGATTTCATTATAATGGTATAATTGACTGCCCCCTCAAATTCCAGCCCTCTCAAGATATTTTTCATTTTACAAAGCTAAAAAACATGAAGGGTATATTGTAAATATATTTTATCTTATAGAAGAAGTTATATAACATAATTTATTTTTAATACATCAAATTAAATATTATATAAAAAAGTAATCTCAACATAATTTAAAATCATGTATGCATTAATCATTAATGTATTTTATTCAACATTATTTTTATACACAATATAAATGACTTCTGAGGTATACATATATACATATATACATATATATATATATATATGTTAATTAAACAAGCTTCGTATTAAATATTTTAAGCTAAAGGTCATTTGACCCAAACTGAAATAGTTTCACTGGTTATTTTTTTATTGTGAGAAATAATAACTCATCATCATGTGGACCTAATGAAATTAATGTGGGAACAAAATGATGTATGCAGTGGGCTCTAGTCTCTACACCTTCGCAAAATTAAAAGGAAAGACTATATAATAAATTAGACCCACTTCATTATTATCTATACGTCCAAAAAAATTTATTTTGTCAAAATAGTTAAGAGTTTTTTTATCATATATTGAGAAAATACATATAGATACATGTGGAGGTGAGCGAGAGTCTTTATGTATTCCAGATATATGTGACGAGCGAGAGTCTTTATATATTTCACATACACGTGAATCACATCAGATAATTAATACATTTGATCTGATTTTCATGTATTTGAAATATCAAATATATAGAAAAATTACTAGCGAAATTTGTTATATATCACAAATACGTATGAAACAATTTGAATACGGTGTATCTAAAATAATTTACACCTAATTTTGATGTCTAACTTTTTCGAGATAGTTGATTAAGTCATTGCATTTGATATATTGTTAACGTCATTTCCAGTTATCAGTGTTTTTTAATTTTTAGATTTTTCCTTTCGTCCTTAATTTTTGGATATTAACTTAGGATAATTTTATTAGAAAAAAACACTATATATATTGATGTTACACTTTAATTGTCAACCTAATCTTCGATACATGTTTTTTCTTCTTCTTCTTCTTTGCAATGGAGTTGGTTAATTAATTTGATTTTAAGTTGATGGATTTCTTGTTTTTCTCCTAATTAAGTGCATTAATTGCGAGCTGATGTTTTATAGTATGTTTTAGATTCTGGTTTTTTAGAAGCAAAGGAATTTATTTACGAGTTAAATTGCAAATGTACATTAAACAACTTTTATTTGTACCACGAGGGACTAACTTGAGTATTGGTCGTTATTTTCTTCAAGAAAATTACAGGTTTGATCTTTAAATTTTAAAATATTGGAAGAAAAAATCACCAAAGCAAAACACTTAACATCAACGAGCTACAAAATTCAAATTTTTGTAGAGGTTTGTCTTTGAAGAGGCCGATAAATGAGTTGCTCTGGTACCATTTGACGGTCTTACTTGTTAGTAATATTATCCGCTTTATAATTAGATAAGCACGGTTTTACATTGCTTATAGGTAAAGTTTAGTTATTTATATACTCAACCACCGTCTTAACCCCTAGGTCACTAAAGCCATCACTTGGGGCCTCTTATTTTGAGGGTCCCCCATTTTTACAA